GAGGTCAGTGTTTTTTCCGATTTGCGAGACGGGTATTGATATCTTTTGCTGATGAAATTGGTGGTGGTGCTGCGGTAGTTGAGCCTGAGATACCCAGCAAGCCAACAATTGATCCGTTAGGGCATCTGACTACTTGCGAGGCTGAAGCCATCAGAACCTTGTGTTCTCGTTTCCCAGATGTGCTGACGCCAAAGCTTGGAGTCACTAACCTGTTAGAGTACGAGATTCGTCTAACAGATACCCGTCCCGTTCGCTCTCACCCATACAAATTAGCTCCACCCAAAATGGAAACTCTCAGAAAAATCATTGACGAACTTCTGGAAAATGGTGTCATTGATTGAACCTTCCCGTTCGAGCTACGCTAGTCCAGCTTTTCTCGTCCCAAAACCCAATGGCAAGTCCCGAATGGTTTTGGACTATCGCAAATTGAATGCGCAAATTGAAATCGACTCTGTGCTTCTCCCCGATTTGCATTCTGCGTTTGATTGGTTCGGTAAGGCCAAGTATTTTTCTGTTTTTGATCTGAATCAGGCCTATCATCAGATTCCTTTGAAACCTGAGTCTCGACCTCTCACTGCTTTCTGCGTTCCGTGGAATTTGTATCAGTTTACAAGAGTTCCGATGGGTCTTGCTGTGGGGGCCCAGACTCTCACCAGACTCCTTGATTCCATCTTTCATGATGTCAAGTTCAAGTTTGTGTTCAATTACCTCGACGATCTCTTGGTGTACAGTGAGAGCTTTGAAGATCACCTGATTCATCTTGAAGAAGTCATGAGTAGATTGAATAGGGCTGGCCTTACCGTGAATCCTGACAAGGTTAGTTTTGCAAAGCCGGAAATTTCGTTCCTTGGTCATCTTATCTCTCATAGAGGCGTCTGCATCGACCCCGCTAGAACCCAGGCTATCAGGGAGTTTCCTCCTCCCAGAGATGTCAAGGGTATTGCTAGGTTCATCGGCATGGTAGGTTTTTACCGACGCTTCATACCCAATGTTGCTGAATTGGCGGCTCCTCTCAATGAGCTTCGGAAGAAGGGCGCCAAGTTTGTCTGGGGTGAAGCGCAGCAGACGTCTTTTGACCTTCTCAAGGAGGCTATCATGCAGCCCCCTGTTTTGGCGATGCCGGATTTCAATCAAAACTTTGTCTTGCAAACAGATGCTTCCTCCGTCGCTATTGCGGCTGTGTTGTCACAAGAGGTGGATGGTGTTAGGCAGCCAATTGCGTACGCCTCACGCACTTTGAGTCCCTGCGAAAAGAAAAGCTCTTCTGTGTATGAACTCGAGTGTTTGGCTGTCGTGTTTGGAGTCAATAAATTCAGACGCTTTTTGGAGCACAAAGAGTTTTTATTGGAAACCGACAACCAGGCACTCTCGTGGCTTCTCGCACATCCACGCCAGCTTGGGAAAATTGGTCGTTGGGTTGTCCAAATATCGTCCCTTAAGTTCCAAGTGCAACACGTTCGAGGCACTCAGAATGTGATTGCGGACACACTATCTAGGATGTACCATTCACCCGACGATCATCCTTCTGACCAAGAGCAACCGGGTTGTGCCGTGCTCTTGGAGTTTCCATTCGCCTTTTCTGATTTCATTCCCCATCAGCTGAAGGATCCTGAGCTGGCAAAGATCATTGGTGAGCTTCAAAATGGGGGAGCCCACCCCCCATATTTTCTGTCCCAGGGTGCCCTTTGCTGTCGCGCTCGGCTGCGAGGTAAACCTAAAGTTGTGCTGCCTAGTCTTCTAATCCCTATGGTCTTTGAGTATTTTCATTCTTCTCCTGTGGGTGGTCATCTAGGTATCCACAAGACCATTGCGAAGGTTAGGGAAATGTTCATCTGGAAGGGTATGGATCGGGATCTTGCTGCTAGGGTGCGTTCTTGTCAAACGTGCTCACTGAGCAAGCCCGCTCAAAACTCTAAGTTTGGTTTGTTGTCATCTGAGGTGGCGGAAAGACCTTTGGAGAAGGTTTTCATTGACTATGTAGGGCCTCTCCCGCGTAGCAAGTCAGGAAATAAGTTCCTACTTGTTTGTGTGGATGCCTTCTCCAAGTTTTGTTGGCTTTTTCCCTTAAGGAATGCCACTGCACAGCTCACCGTGCAGGTACTTCGAACACACCTCTTCCAACATTTTGGAATACCCGCCACCATTGTTTCCGACAACGGAACACAGTTTGTTTCCCATCTGTTCAAAAGAATGTGCTTTGGGCACGGAATCCGCCATGTGACTACTTCCCCTTACTATCCACAGCCTTCTCATGCTGAAAGGTTCAATCGCAATCTTCGCTCCGCTCTCATAGCTTTCCATGCTGACAAGCAGACCACCTGGGATCAGGAACTCCCTTGGCTTCAGTTTGCTTTCAATACTGCTCACCATGAGAGTCACAAGGCGGTCCCTTTCGAGCTGTTTCTAGGCTATCCGCCTAACAACCCGTTAGCGAATGTGTGGGGAATTGGCGACCTTCTGCCACCTCCTGGTGCGGCTGATGTCAAGGCAACTTGGCAAGCGGCCAGGAGAAACTTGATCAGAGCTAGGGAATTGGTCCGGAGGAAGCACAATCGTGGTAGAGTAGACAACCCTTTCCAGGTGGGGGATTTGGTGTTTTGTAAAGCTCATCCGGCCAGTTCGGCTGTGGACAAGAGAGCTGCCAAGTTGTGTCATCGGTGGTCAGGTCCCCACCGCATCCTGAAGTTTTTGACGCCTGTCAAGGCGGAGCTTGGAGATCCGCGGACTGGAAAAGTGTTCCGGAGGGCGCACATTTCTCATCTCAAGCCCTTCCGCGGAACTCTTCCGTAGGCAATTTTCTTTCCTCTTGTGTCTGGGTGGGAAGTGCACTGGGCCAGAGAACCTGATCACTTCTCCTGTCCCCTGTGTTCTGCGAAGGAATTTCCCTCACAAAATTTTCCAGCTCTGGCCAGAGCAAACCCTGGGGGTGAGTTTTCCCCTCAGTTTGGAAGTCCCTTGGCGTTCCCCACCACAGACACCTGAGTTGTCTTTCAGGTCAATTTCTTTTCAGGAAGTGGGGGAGAGGCTTGTTTGTTTGTCCCTTTTGGAGAGGAGTGTCCTCTTTTATGGGAGGGAGGTTGAGCCGTGACTATTTCCACCGGGCGAATGTCACGACTCATGATCAATGGTTCAAGTGTTTTTTTTTATAGTAGGCTAGTTCAGTGTTTCGTTGTCACTCCACGACCCCGAACAAGGCTGTGGGTTTTTGTTCTTATTACTCCCACCGCCAAGCACTTCAGAGGTTGCGTGACAATCAACTAGTTAACCTCGCAGACATTTTTCCATCGTTTTACATCGCCCTTTTGGCACATGTTTTTTGCAAAGTCGATTATGTTTTTTACTTTGTGTTTAGTCTGCGAGGTTATGGAGTAAATTTTAGTACGCCCTGCACGCCTTTTGGGTGAGTTTTTCACATTTTTCTAAAGTTAGGTTAGCTGCACATGGTTGCACTAGGTCTGGAACCTAGTCTTGGGGTCGTGGAAGACTTTTGATAGTTAGTTTCCCTGTTCTCTGTTGTTTTGTATAATTCAGGGCTTTGCCCGAAATACTAGGCCTAGAATTGACTGAGAAATGTTTGTTGGAAAGCCGCTATTTGAGAGAAACTGCCAAGTCAGTTTTGGGTCCTTCTGACTGTTTTGTGGTAGGCCTAGGCTTACAATTTTTGCTCAGTAAATGTAATTGTCTTAGGCTACTACCTTTGGTAGCCCTTTGCTTTGTGTCCCGTTAAAATTTTTAGTGTTGTTTTGTCTTGTAAAATGTTCAGTTTGTGTTACCCAGTCAAGTATTGTTAAAGTCTTTTATTTTGCTTTGTTCTTGCCAAACTAGTTAAATTTAAGTTGAATTAACTGCTCCTAAAGCTCCCCTGAAAGTTTGAGCCATTTTACTCAAGTTTTAAGAAAGTTACAGTAATTTTTAGTTTGGCAATTCTCCATTCAGGTTTGAACTGGGTAACCTGGAAGGCCACTGGTTTCTGCCTTTGAGTTAAGGTTTGGAATGGTCTGGAAAAGCTGCTGGAACATTTCCCCCAGCTTTTAAGACCATTCCGAACAAATTCGGATCACAACTTTTGGAGAAATTAGCAAAAATACATGATATTTAAAATATGATATATATGATATACATATATGTATGATATATGTATATATATATGATATACATATGTGATACATGATATATATGATATTTAAAAGGCAAAATCACAAAATAGGCATTCACTTTTGAACCTTAACATTTACAGGAATGAGGAATTGTACAATTTCGCTGAGAACTATAAGGATAGTTATAGAACATTTTCGATCAGAGTCGGGTTTTTTCTGAAAAATCAATTTTCTGTTTCTCATGGGTTTTATGGGGAAACAACATAATTTACAGGAATGGGAGTTATATCATTTCGTTTATAATTTGAATAGCTAAAATATACAAAATGTTTATCAAAATCGTTCAGGGACATTTTTGAGAAAATCTGATTTTTCCGTTACGTTATGGGTTTTATGGGAAAATCGTCATTAAAAATAAACGTTTAAAAATGAATAACAGCTTGTAGATACTAAAGATAAGGTCCTATATTTCATAAATACTGTAATAATATATACCTGCCTTCTTTCTTATGTTAAAACTACCTTCTTTGAACTAACCTATGTTATTATTATAATTTTTTAAACATTATCCCAAAAAATACACATCTTTTGTTAAGTCCTATTAATTTTTGTTTTGTCTGTCTTTAATATTTTTAATATTGGTGCCGAAACCTGACTTATAAATCATGTCAAGAAATATGTCAATCCGAAAGTCAGAGAGAGAAACACCCTCCAAATAGATATTAACCAGAAAATGTAAATGCCAAGAATGATGAACTCATAGAAAGAGATAGTCAACCTCCAAAACCCCCTACTAAGACAAAAACCACATATTCAACTTCCAGCAAGCGCCGGTTACTTCAACTGCAACTATAAGAAATAGAAGAGATGAACAAACTAGAAAAAATGCAGTAAGAAAAAGAAATGCAGCGCCAAAGAGAATTCGATGCTAGAGAACTGGAACGACAACATCAAGCTGAAGAACTAGAACGACAACGTCAAGCGGAAGAACTAGAACGACAGAGGCGAAGAGAGGAGAGGGAAATGGAACGACAACGTCAAGCTGAAGAACTGGAACGACAACGTCAAGCTGAAGAACTAGAACGACAGAGGCAAAGAGAGGAGGGGGAAATGGAACGACAACGTCAAGCTGAAGAACTGGAACGACAACGTCAAGCTGAAGAACTAGAGAGACAGAGGCGAAGAGAGGAGAGGGAAATGGAACGACAACGTCAAGCTGAAGCAAGAGAACTAGAACGACAGAAGCGTCTGCTGAGAGTAAGGACCGAACTTGAGTCTGCTTCGGTCTTGGGAAGTGGTCAGTCCGCCTCAGTCTTGGGCAGTCGTCATTAAACGTTCAGAGTTACGTATGTATCGGCGTTATCAGAGTTAGTTGACTGCATCAATGACTCAACGCTAACTTCTAAAGTAAATACTACAGATATGGTGGCTAATGAACAAGGTGGAGTACTAATCAAAATCCATGATTGGCTAACGTTTTTCCAGACTTATGGTGCCAAAAAAATACCGCTCATTAAACGGTATAACCATTTTGAGTTCAGTACAGAGTTAAAGGAAAAGTGCACTGCAAAATCGATCTTGAAGACAACGTGTATGTTCATCAGGTATTCGACACCGAGAATGGACCTAGTGGTTTCCCCAAACAAATAGTTCCCCAAGGAATGACTCCAAAGAGGAAGGAGTATCTGTACAAAAACATTAGGCAATATTGCAAAGACGAGTTCAAAGATGTGTTGTGCCCTCATCAAGAAGCATACCCATCTGAAGATACTGAAGATACTGAAGAGACAGCCTGAAGATACTGATGAGCCTGATGAACCTGTTCCGGGGACTTCGACGGCGTGTCAAGGACCGTCAAAGAAGCGCCACAAGCGCTGAGTGTAAACATAGAAATATTTTTTTTACTTTAAAAATGTTTCTTTCTTAAATAAGATTTAAATGTTTTTTTAATTAAAAAACGGAAAATGCCGCCAAGAGGTCGCTTTCGGTAGTTTTGGGATTTGTTATGGAGAAATAACATAGGGCCGCGAAGAGGTCCCTTTTCTGAAATATAACTTTTAATGACATACTTTAATAAAAAAACAAGATTTTCTTAAAAACTACTGTAAGTTAAGACACAAATGGGTATTCCCATCATAGAAGACGTTTAAGGCTTTCTTTTAAAACCTAAGTCGTCGCTTAAATATAAAAAAATATTGTTTTATGCTGATTTGAAATTTTCAAATTAATTTTTTCGAAAATAGGCCCTTTCTCTCACTGAATTTCAAAGACCTATAACTTTAACAAAAAAGAAATCGTAGACTCATGGGACTTGCACCAAATTAATAGGATTTAAATGAGGAATTCAAAAATAATAGTAACTCAAAATCGGAAATTGCCGCGAAGAGGTCCCATTTTCCTTTCCGCCTCACAATCCACTCAAAGCTCAAACTCAAAAAAATTTTACGAAAACAAAAAAATCTCCATATATACTTTCTCCATATACTATGTATAGGGGGAGAAAGTAAAAATTAATAGTGCTGCACCCTGTTGGTAAACCTTAGAACCTTTTAATGATATTGAATATCATAGAACCAAGTTGTGTAGTTAAAACAGCTGGCAAACTGCTTTAATTCATTTTAAATTGTTAACATGGGAATCTACACAGCCACTAGGGCGGAGCCCAAAAGGACCTTTGAGATAAGAGTAAGTAATCGTATATATGTTAATCGGGAACGTAAGCTATCATGATATAACGTTTCAGCTCAATCTGACAAGTAGTTAATGCGTGATTGAACTTCGAACAAACAACCAAACAAACAAACAAATACACAAGCTTTCAAATTTATAATATTAGTAAGATTAAAATGGGTTTATTTGAAAATGGAACTCATAACGTAGCACTAAACATTGATTCATATTATTACGTAATTAAATTGCGTACCTATCTTACATAGCAAGAATTGATACTGTAGTTTTACGTGTATGTGTACCTAGCAGAGTACCCGTCCTTAGTCCAGGTTTGATCTGAAATTAAAATCTGTGTTAAATAAGATTCGAATCCACAATTTAACATGAAAAAAAAACTTTTCAAACAATAAAACAAATAAAAAACTCAAAGCTTTTACTTACTTTTTAATTATGAAAAAAACATCTGGTTAATATTATGGGTTGACTAAAAAGAAAAATGTGATCTTGCTTCTAAAAAGCATTGCTCACTAAGCATTGATCATAAAAGTATCTCATTATATACTATATGAGCAAACAAAACATTAACACTCTAACTACTTAAACAAACAGAAATATACTTAGCCCTACTATTTATAGCTCCTACTATTCATGCACCAAAGGCAAGTGTATAAACAACTTAGTTTTTTTATTGTTGTTTTTTAATTGATATATTTGTATATCAGCTTAGAATTAGGAAATTTAACGTAATTCAAACAATGTTTATGTCGAGGGTAGGTTAAGTTAAGAGGAACTTGGTTGAAAATATACATGTAATGACCATGAAACGCTCGTAAAAAGTTATTCATTATTAGAATAGAATGTTAAATCTACAGGAAGTGTCAAAAGTTATAATATAGATAGGTAGTAGGTACCTCTGGACTAGAAAACATCATAAATAATCTAAGGGTGGTAATATGAAATTATGATTTAAAAATTTTTAAAAAGGCAAATGATGTGAACAATATATCTCTCAAAATTGCAAAAATATACAATTTATTATCTCCTTGTAAAAAAGTTTAAATTTTTAAGGTGTGTGCCCTACTCTAAACACATGTTAGTTGTTCAAAAATGTTAAAATGATTCAAGTAAATGTGAGCTTTATAATTTCACTACTTTTTACATCAAAATATTTGAATACAATGATTCACATTAGCGAAATTTTTTATAATTAATTATGGTTAGATACAGCAACAGATATACAATCTCAATTATTTCATAAAAGCAATAATCATTGAACCCTCAAATGTAAGAATAAATAAACATGTTATGAACAACCTGTAGAATTGTGAATTAATTTGGTTTGACAGTTCAGCTTGTTTACATTTGGGTGGCATGGCAAATTGCAAACATTGTATGTGTTCTCATGTCAGCAATGGAGACCAATCAATATTTACTTTTAAATTCCTCACCTCAGAACTTTTAAAGCCAAAGCGGCAAAGCCCACGGTCAGTATCGAAGTGTGAATAGTCCTATAAAGGTGCTTGGTATGGTGGCTATATTTTCGTATATATTTCAGTAGTTTCAGTAGTTTATGCGCCTATTAGTAACAAACATAAAAACAGACATCATTATATTATTTTTTGTATAATAGTATGGATAATTAGTTTTGTAAAATTGCCTAATATACATTTGGTTTAACAGTTACCAAATTATTTACTGTGCTGTGTAGCTATTACTGGGCAATACAATGAATCATATACTTAGTTTTACCTACGACAGTTGTCTAAACTAGCCTTTCAGTTCAATTCTCAGAATTGAAAATATTCACTTATCAGCATTGTTTACTTACTTAAAAACATTGGTTTACTTAACAATGCTGTTACCTCTCTTAGAAGCTATATGTAGTGATTGTTAGTAATTACAAACGGTCATAGGTAAAGTAGTGTACGCAACTTGTGTAAATAGTACACGTTAATGTAAAACGTAGCGAGCGTTGCATAAACAACCATAATAGAATAGCAAGCCCAGTTACAAAACAATTCGGCTACTCTTGTATGATCCAATAAAATGTTGTTATTTATGAGCTGAATATAGCTTTTATGGACTCTCTCAACGACTGTAAAGGGAGTATGTTGAGTATTTTTAGTTTACACACTACCAAAATAAATGTGTCCATTATATCCTTTAACGTGCGGTAGAGGGTCTTTGTGAAATTTTATCAATATAGATACTATATTACAATACTTACAAAATTGCATTTTTGTTAGATCTTATACTGCATCCGTGACACTAATTATTTATATTTTGAGTCAGCCATTATATATTAGTAGCGCATGTATTATAATGCATTCTCATTATTTAGGAGAATTATTGAAACATGATGTCTGAAAAGCGATAAAATTTAAAATGTTAAACTTCATAACTGATTAGTGTTATATTGCGTTCTGTACATAAAATAACATAATATAAGTTTATCCAAACTAAATTTGACTTTCAGAGTAAGAAAAAAATCAATTTTCTAAATATTTTCATTTTATATCCACTGCCAAGTAATAATATAAAAATGACCTATCCAATCAACAACATTCTTAAGTATCCAATATTAACTTTGGTTTTAGCCTAAAAGTTGGACTATTTCTTTATCACATAATAAAACTGTTTAAGAATCTATGGCTAAATTTTTTAGTCTTTAAACTTTAAACACAAAAATATTTTCCTACGAACATTTGTTTTATTCCGATAAAAATTGATCAAATTAGGTAACAAACATAAATAATTAAAAAAGTGATAAGAAAGGCTAAGTATAGTTTAACACATAAACTCTTTAAAAACTGTAGGATTTGTTGGTCGAAAGCTCTCTCCAGGGAAAAGGCGAGAGGTTGTTAATTTAGTTAAGCTTATAACACTCATCTCAAACGAAAGTAACCCATGAGATGGCTTTTTTATTTACATTTTAGTTTGATTCAGTTTGTAAATGATATCAGATTTCACTTACTTAGTCCACCCTAAAGTCATTTGTAAAGTTCTAACAAATTAATTGTTGAAATCCTTAGTATATTTTGAACATAACAAGTCCGTAATATATATTTTACTCTATATTCGACTTTTTTTCTTTATATTTTATTTTAAATATTCATGCACGTACTCAAATAAAAAAATACAAAGCTAAACTTTTTAATGCATAACAGTTTTCATTATGAGTTCATAGCCTTAAGACAAACTAATAAAGTTATTTTGTAGTAATATTCTTAATGTTTTTTATCTAAGTATTCATATTGCTTTGTATAAAATTAACAGACAATATACTTCATAATTCTATGGATATTAATTTCCGTTATACCGTATCATAAAGTTAACCTCCATTATCTTCCATCACATATATTCATAGATGGAGGATCATTTACCTTAATTATTTCTTTGTAAACCAAAAAAGTCCATGTAACTATCAGTACAATGTTAATTATAAATTGATTTTACTCGTTTTAAACATCGATAACATTTATCTTAATATGAACCTATGTTAAAAAGAATTGAATAGCTCTCGCAAACAACTTATTTTAAAAGTTTCCTGCTACGAAGGCATTTTAACTTAAACTAGATATTTATTCTACAGCCTAAAACTATTTTAGTCTAACATTTACACCGTCTGACTGACGCTATATTGTATGCTACTCTCCAAAATC